ACTATTATATTAATCTGACTATCCACAATAATCGTATAGTCTGCATGTAACCGTACTCACTGACTTCACAAACCCCTGTCACGCCCTGGCTCTGGGGACTCTTATATGTTGAGCCAGGGTGTGGATTTTCTATGTTTTGTTTTCTATGTTTTTGGTTCTAGTTTGTTTTGATCTATGTTGGCCAGGATGGTTCCCAATCAGAGGCAGCTGTAGCTCGTTGTCTCTGATTGGGGACCATACTTAGGCAGCCTGTTTGGCACTAGTATTTTGTGGGATCTTGTTCCGTTAAGGTTTGTGTTGTATAACCTAGGACTTCACGTATCGTTTCATTTGTTGTTTTGTTCGTGTCAGTACTAATAAAGAATGTACGCTTATCACGCTGCGCCTTGGTCCGCTTCATCTGTCAACGATCGTGACAACCCCAAACCCGGCCTGGTCTGCTTCGCAAGCGTTCCTGATTAGAGAAGTCAATGAGAGAAGTGAAACATTCTTCCTTAGTTGTTAATTTTCTCCTAATCTAAAGGCACAACCTAGATTCAATCCAATGTCTTAAGTAGTTGAACATATTATTACCCCAACCTTGTGAAAGTGACAAACTGACACGTTTTCATCAAAAACTACTTTATATCGAAGGAGTGCCTTGGATTTGACGGCCTGTACATGCGCAGTTCGGCGCGAGACGACCGATGATTATTTCTGCACGAGTTTAGCTAGCCAACGTCGCCATGACATCGCCTACAAGCGTGATCTGGGAGGGCCGAAACACTTCTGTTTTTTATTTCTACCTGGTAGTTAATTGCACTCACCTGGTGTCCCAGGTCTGAATTAGCCCCTGATTAGAAGGAGAGGATGAAAAACAGAGGTGTGAACCGGAATTGAAGAACCCTGCTGTACTGTCTCTGATAATATCCTGCTGCTAGGACAGGGGTGTCTGTCAAACTCATTCCATGGAGGGCTGAGTGTCTGCGAGTTTTTGGTTTTTCTTTTCAATTAAGACCTAGACAACCAGGTGAGGGGAGTTCCTTACTAATTAGTGACCTTAATTCATCAATCAAATACAAGGGTCAAGTGAAAACAGACACTCAGTGGAATGAGTTTGACACGTGTGCTAGGCGAGAACAGTATTCAAATGCCTCCTCCAGGCAGTTCCTACGGTCTGTGCTATCCGGAATCCTTGGGACGTCCCTATTCCATTGAATTTGAAATGTAAAATGGTTAAGTTTAGGGTAGGGACGTCCCAAGGATTCGGATAGCACTGACCCAGTTCCTACACTCATGAACCGCCCATAGACGTAGAACATCCCGCCTCGTTGAACTCATGGTTGACACTAGGCTGAACAAATAACGTGCAAGGGAATTGATGGAGGAGGTGTCGGGAAGTTTCCTATCCCAAGTCATGGGGAGGAATATCTCTATTGCATACATAGATATCCTATTACATTACGTTTTTAATTATATGTGTAAATATTAAGTAATCTAATTCCTAATTCTATGATTTAATACTCCTCGGGTCCTCTCTCCGCTCTCTTCGGCTCCTTCTCAAAACCCATTGCAGGAGAAGGTCAGAGGGGAGGTTGCCTTTCACCAAGATGATCCTGACATTTTAATGGTTAAAAAGGTGGACTTTGTGGCCTTTATCGCAATGGTGATTAATGGCACTGCCCAGGTGGAGAAAAGATATAGGAAGATAGAAATCATTGTGGTTGCAGCGGAACGGTTCCTGGGGTTGAAAGTTTCTTGGCAAAAGAGTTACATTAAATATTGTCAAAAGCCGTACGACCATCTCAGGCCCTAGAGACTGAGAAGGGAGATATGGCGATTTAAAAGAAGGAAGAAATGGGAGTTTTGTTTGTTTTGGCAATGTACCATTTTATTAGGGTGGAGTAAGTTAGTATCACTATTAAGTATGGATTTATTTTTGATTTTATATATTTTGTGGTTTCAAACCATCCAGTTAGTGGCGGCAATACAACTTTTTGATGTAGTCTGCCATAAAACTCACAGAAGAAGAAGAAGAAGAAGAAGGTCAGAGGGGAGGAGCCTTTGGCATTTCATCCAATGGATTTTAAGAAGGATACGAGGAGAGAGGACGCGAGAAGTATGCAATTGAGATTTTCCCATGTTGAAGGAACGAAGGTAATACCAAAGACTATACAGTATGTTTAGAGACTTTGTGGGGATAACGTTACCTCCAAGCCATTTTTCATTCTGTCCAGTCATAATAATTGTTCTATAGCTATCTTCATTATCGGGTATGTATTGATTGTTTTACGTGAAAGACCATTTATTCCTTTGGTTTCAGTAACATAAAGCGTTTAAAATAGGCATATTTCACAATGGGAATCGGGAAACTGTTGTTATTAGCTAGCTAGCTACTGTTAGCTAGGGTAACGCGTTAGGCTAGCTAGCAAACTTGCTATCCAGCAGAGCCCACTGAACACAAAGAAAGTAGTGGTAAATCCCGTTTGATATAGCTAGCTAGCTAGACTTTGCAAGTGTAAAGTATATGTAAGTACTGTATAAAGATAAAAGGAAACAACCTAGCTAGCAAGAATATAGTCTCACCCTACTGTCAATGTCTTTCACCCTGGCCTGTCACTTATTCAGCCATGCTTGACCTCCTGACCCCAGCCCTCACGTTCAAGAATAACAACGTTGTGCAACATATTTTAGTATAGGTTGTCAAACCATATCGATATGATATGAGTTGTTATGGCATGATTTGGCTTTGCCATATCAGTTGTACAAATGCCAGAAATCAGATATCTCAATGTCTGCATGTCATCATTTTTTTAGTGATCCAAATGACATTTTAGTCATTTAGCAGACGCTCTTATCTAGAGCGACTTCCAATTAGGGAATGCATACATTTTTCATACTGGCCCCCCCAGTGATGAATGACTTTCTGTACACTTAACTTTTTAAACCCAGTTAACTCTTAACTGTTCCAGGAACATTACACAATGGTCAAGGGACCAGGAGTATGAGCTGATTGAAAACCAATCAAAGTAGGCCTAGCCCTTTCAACAGCATTTGCCATACAAATTTGTCAAACAAGTGTTCACTGTAACCTGGCCTAGATCCCCAAAAGAGCAAGTAGTAAAAAGCTCAGAGTGTAGCTATAACCATCTGGCCAAACCGTTGTCCTTTTAGGCAAGATAGAGCACAACTTGTTCATAGGAGCATACATCTATCTAGGCTAGACAGCTGTCAAATTAGGCAATGTACTAAAGTAACATTTTGCACTTAGAATTTACCAATGACACATTCATATAGAGAGATATCAGGCAGGCGTGAAGAGTCAGTGGTGGAAATGGTGAAACATTTAATAGCCTGACTGTCACTTTTCTCCTTGTAATCACTAGAGGACAGCATTGCACATGTGTTTGTTATAAAACCAATGACCTCCGTGTTCTTCAGGCCCCACTTCTCCACCAAGCACACATCCTGTGCGCACAACAACATTTCCTTTATATAAATATAATCACTTTTCTATTCACATATCCATCCCTGTGGCAAGGAATAGAGATGAATGGCCAAGGCACAGTGAATGGTACTAGAAGTTACAAGCACACAGTGTTACCATTGCTTGTAACCTCTGTGTTGGGAGTGTGGCCTGGTTGGCTATTTAAAACCTACTCTAATGGACAAACAATCCTGTCTGAGATAGCTAACAATAACAGACGGGCTGTTACCTAGGTATAGTGAATTATTGATGATTTTCACAAACCACATGATGCAAGCAGGAGGTTTTTTGGAACACACGTACATGCACACAATATAACCTGCTTGGGTCTGGCATTACGAAATGCCATCCCTTTCCTCAACTGTTCTAACGTATTACGCACCACTTCCAACCTCAATTGTAGGACCAGAAATTAACTAGCCTGCCTATATGTTATGGATTAGGCCTTATAGAATACTCCACAACAATAACCATCCACATAATAGAATATTCCACAGCTGGGAAATCCCTACAACAAACATACACACAGCCCCAAAATGAGCGATTACATGTAGTCTAACAATAGGTATTTTAATTTTAGCAAAAACAATATTGGCCTTTCTTTTCGAGTAGGCCCGCTTGTATGTTTCTCTTTTAGTCTATTTGGCTTGTACTTTAAAATAATGCTTTTTGGCCTGATTATTTATTAATTATGAAAGTATTATTTGTCCCCCAACATTTTTTAAAAGCTCTTAGCAGATACGTTGTCTCCTATCATATGAAATAGTATACGTAACAGCTATACTTTTATTTTGGAACAAGCCCATATATAGCGTTTTAATTGAATTAATTGATATTTATTACAGAATATTTGTAACTTGTTTCCTTTTATGTTCATCCTCATTTTTATATAATATGGATTCACCATTTAGTTATTTTTAATTACACTAATATTATAGGGACAGATGCCCTGGTCTACATTCTAAATGGTGTGCAATTTCTCCTGGCCTTGGTTGTAGTTGTTTTGGTGAAGAACTGTGTGCCCTCTCTCGCTCGCCTGAAGACGGTTGAGAAGGAGGGAGGGGTTTAGACAAAGGCCTTCTCTACAGAAATGGAGGCTACAGCAGAGCAGCCCTGTTGTGCTTTTTTCATTTTCTACATGCTAATATATTATCTGTGAAAATATCACAACGTGCTTCAGATGCAACCTTAGGTAATGGTATTACATTTTTATGTGTGTTCTTTAGGTCACAGAAATGCGGTTAAATGTCTTATTTTGTGATTAGGGCCTAGCTTTCTCTCTTTTTTTCTCTCCCTGTCTCTCCCGCACTCAGAGCTGCTCCTGCCTGCGCTGAACAAAGATCGTTACTCAGGAAATGCTTCGGCCAATCGGATGCGGCCTTACATCCCGCTTGTGAGAAAGGGGCCAGTCAGGGCCTGGCTACCATCAGACGGGCCTGATCGTCTTGCCTGAAGAGAGGAGCCTTCCCCGGCTGAGGGCTGAGAGTGTCCTCCATGTTTTATAAGTGTTGACATAACAGTGTGTCAGGCAGCCATGCATCCACAGAGGTAAGCCCTGTCTCTTTATTTCAACTCTAATTACAACATTCATTTCTCCTTCTTCTCTGTTGTGTGACTCTTGTGCAAATCTAAATGTGAATACCTGAAAATCACAGATTGCTTTCCCAAAGGAGTGTGGGGGGGGGGGGGGGGGGGGGGGGGGGGGGGGCTTTGTGGGCGGGTTAGGCCTTGCAAGGCCCCTGCTCCACAGAGAGCTGAGGTGGGGGGTTGGATAAGGACTCACCCCTGCTCTATCTCTGTGTAGCAGGGTCACGTGTGCCCAAGATATCCAGACTGCCATGCAGTGGACCATGGCAAATCCTTGTTTTCCTTGTCTTTTTTATAACGCTAAAGAGAGTGAGATACAAATGTGCACTCTCTTATCTCCTCTCTGCTGTGCCAGCCTGGTTGTGTGTCATGGCAGAGTCAGAGATGATGGGGGATGGGTGGCAGAAAAAGTGTTAGTGGGGTGGAGGGAGGGATGGGGGGTGTTACGTATCTTTTGTAAGCAGATTGCCTCTGTTGTTGTGGTCTAGTGTGTCATGCCAGGCCAGAGAGAATGGACACGAGGGCAACAGATGTGCCTGTTAGAGGGACTCTGGGGTCTTTGGGGAGGGGCTGATGGCTAACTGAACACTGGTTGCTTACAGTGGGGGGGGGGGGGGGAGGGGGGGGGGTGAACAGTGAGGACGTGAGTGAATGTAAGGATTTTCTCTGTAGATGTGATCATAATTCTTCACCAATTGACGCAAGTACAAACAAGGCAGTGAATGCCTGCCACATGAGGCTAAATGCCTCTCCAGTCTCACCCACATCAGAACTCACACAGGGTCCTCAGAGTTCATTCAACTGTCCCAACCAAAAATGGGTTGTCTGAGGGGAATTCTTGAATTCAATTGAACATTTCTTTTTTTTCTTCCTCTACACATTAGTAGCCCTGTGTAGACTAGTTGTTTTTAAGCTCATTGGGATATGGGAAGGCCCAAGGCCTCTAGTTTACAGGCCAGTTCTACGTTGACTCTGTAGCACTCATCCTTGTAAAGCTACTTCCTCTGCTCTGTGCACCTCAAACAGTGGCCATTTTGTGTAAAGCTCTGCTCGTGTCATCACAGATATAAACTGCCAGAGAAGCACTACATTTTTAGTGATTGTTGATTGTGTGCATTTCGTATGCGTGATGGTGTGTTTTGTCTTCAGCTCGACTCATATTTGTCTGTATTTGTTTGCTTGTTTTCTCTTCCCCTCCTTTGCACCGCTCTGGCCTCGCTCACCTATTTATAGCTGCTTCATTTAAATGCCTGGTTTGACGTTTCTATAATACTTGGTTCAAGAGAATCCTATCTCCTTTGTAAGTAGGTAAGAGAAATTGCATATCTGACTCTCAATTCACAATAATCCTTTTTGGTAGTATTTTATTTTACAGTACTGTTTCCACTGGTGTTTAATTGGAAATTACTGTATGCTTCTTAATTCAAATAATTCATCACAATTAATAACTAGCCCCCTACCTGTTTCCAAATAGTGCCTAGCAGTGATTAATTGCATGAATCAGAAAGTAATTAATAGGTACTAAATGTGTAATAAGTGACCATGGCACGGCAGATCTTAAAATGCACATTTAACTTTGAAAAAATTATGAGCAAAAGCCTAACCTTCTGTGTCAAACCTAGATTCGATTTTCTAAGCTTTTTGCATCGTAATCTGTAGAGGGGGGTCCTACTCTTAACCACCTTGGTTTAGCGCTACACAAAGCATGCTTCATTATGTGAATGGCACATCAACCACCATTACGTTAGAGTTCTCTTTTTAATGGGATTTATGTTAATACACTTTCATGGACAAAACCAAAACCAAACGTGATCCAACACCCCAGAATAAAATAAACGGCTAACCTAATTCATTTTGAACAGACATTGACATTAGGTGAGCTTGGAGACGTGCATAATTTCATGCTGTGCTCCATAAGTGTTGTGTTAGTGGGAATGTTAGTAATCTGGTGACAGGTTATCTTTAGACGATCGTCTGGGGTTGCTGGGGTTTGCTGAGGCAACATTGCTCGTAAATTGTGATTTATTGCCTCTCAACCACAAAGAACAACTCCAAAACCCTCTTCTAAAACCTCTACCCGTTCACTCAGTCACGTTCAAAATAGTTACACCGTTTTAATGCAGGGGGAATCTCTGCATTGCAGCAGAAAATGTTTTTAAGGAAGAGGGAAGCCTGCACACAGGGAGCCATGTGGCATAGCACAGCCGACCAATCCTGTCCCACCCTGCAGACCCTCCAGCCAATTACAGCAGCAGCCGAGGTTAAAGCTTGAAAATTGCTGTGAGAGCGGCAGCACAGGGAAAGCAGGGGCCTTCTGGAACATTCCACAGCCGTCTTTGTTTCATCCCCTCCAGCCCAATGTAAAAACCAGGCTGAATGATTTTCTTACATATTCTGTGCTATAACACAAGGTATGCTACCACACTTCAATTAACTCTGTTGAAGAATATGTTATTGGGTAAAAAAATTCAGACAAAATTGAATCATGTGTATAATGAATCTTATAGTATGAAAAAGTAGGCAAAAGCCTGGCACCTATTTCTGCACGACTGTACCTAAAACTAGTTGTTTCATATTGTCTTGAGCGAACAGTACATTTAACCTTGATGGTATTGTTTGAATCTTGTTATGTCTCTCAGAGTCAGTCTTCTCTCTGGAGGTCAGGGGCTGCAGGTTGACGAGGGTGCCAGGTTGTTTCTCTATCAACAATACTGGTTGTCAGTGGATTCAAGGACACATTACCAACACAAAGCATACAACAAAACCACCCTGCTTTTATGGTACCACTTACAGAGCAGGTTTTTAATCAGGAAACCAGACCATCTCTCTGTACGAGACACCACTGTGTTGCATGAGACCAAAACACTGTATTCTCCTCAGGGATAGAGCATAGGTTTGTCAGATCTGTCTTTACTCTCATACAGTGTCGTCGTCCCCCCCCCCCCCCCCCCCCTCTTTCTCTCAGTCTCTCTCTTATTATTAAGCGTCATTATTCTTCGACAGCAGTGCGCTCAGTGAAGGTCGAGACTGAAGACGACGGAGGAGGGGGGGGGGTAAAATGGATAAGAATGATCTCCAATTAGCTGGATTTATCTTCTCTCTCTCCATCTCTCTCTCCTCTCGTCTATGTCTCCCTCTCTCTGTACTCTGCTGCGAACGTGTTTCAGCTTAACTGTGTTTGGATGTTGAACTGTAATCTCCACGGATCTCCTGGTCCTCCTGTGTGTGTGTGTGTGTGTATGTGTGTGTGTGTGTGTGCCTGTGACTGGAGCCTCGGTCTGTGTGGGGGATGGGAGAGGGGGGAGGGGAGCCGGCTGTGGCCTCCATTTTCTGTGACGAGAGAACCCTGCTCTGCCTCTGCTCGCCTGTCTCTCTGAGGAGCCAGTGGAATCTCAAGGCACAGAGTCAGTGTGTGTTTTTTCTTCTGTCAGGCATTCCTCCTTGCAGAGGGTGGGTGTTTGTCAATGTTATTCTGAATTTTGCTCATCTGGAATATTCCCAGATCCTGAAGATTTTTCTGCTATCTGTTCTTGTGTGATTCTGGCATGTTTCTGGAATGCTGCTCCTGGTCTGAAATGCCCTCTGGAAGAACATAGTTTCTCTCTCAACTGTTCATCCTATCTGCCTAGTCAGAAGCTACAGGATCAGGTGGATATTATGTCACGCTGGCTGCTCGGTGGGCCCATTTTGGAGTGAATAAAGAGTGGAAACCTTGGCTGCATGCTAACAGGACTCTGTCATCTCACAGTGCTCTCGCTGCTAGCACACGGAGCACAGAGAGTTGGCTAACATTTGCTCTCTTTCATTTTGTTTGTTCGCTCTCTGTCCAGAACAGGAAGGCCCTGAAGGGGGTTAGTCTGTCAGCAGTGTGTCTAAACAAGAAAAGGCTCATATGCTGGATGATTTGTATTTAGCTTCCCTTTGTATCTTTTTGATCTTCTCTCATTATCCAGATTACATTAGGGATTATTTTATGCTACAGTTGTTTTGATAATGGTGATTTAGCCTGGTGATCATTGATTGTGACTTTTCCCATGTGGACGTTGGGTTTATGAATGATCAATGTTATGGACTTGGTTTGATGAGCAGGACATCAAGGTTTACAGTCTGTTAATGGGGGTGGTGTTATTGGTTTAGTATATTTAGTTAATGGCCTCTTTTACAGTGGTAGTCATGCTTGGGCTCATCAATGGCTGCCCTCAGCTGTGGCTCTGGAGCATTTACATTTTAGTCATTTAGCAGACGCTCTTATCCAGAGCGACTTACAGGAGCAATTAGGGTTAAGTGCCTTGCTCAAGGGCACATCGGCAGATTTTTCACCTAGTCGGCTCGGGGATTAGAACCAGCGACCTTTCGGTTACTGGCACAACGCTCTTAACCACTAAGCTACCTGCCGCCCCAGCATTGTGTTGTCTCCTTTTTCTACTCTGTCCTATTTTCTTTTAGATCAATGGATGTGAATTCTTAAGACTAGATCAACTCTATAATCTCATTCAAAACTTTGTCTGCAATGTTCCTCTTAGAACATTCCCACGTGACCACTTCTTGAACCTTGTCAAAGGCTGTTTTTCTATCTAGCTAGTGCTGGATATTTGCCTGTTAGGCTACCTGTAACTAGACGTTCTTTGCCCCCTGCCACATCCACCTCTATCAGGAGCCACCAGGGCAGGGCTAAGAGCCTGAACTGGTTCAGCGTGTGTCCTGTGGTGGATCCATTCCTGAGGAGGATTTTCTTTAAGCGGACGATGAATGGGACGACATCCTTGGAACGAGGCTCTCAGTGGCCCTGACAAAGGAGGGGCTGAACTCTCAAAGAACCCCATTCATCACCAAGGATCCCCCTTCTCCTCCTTTTTCTTCCTGAGAGGAAATGAGATGAGCGGAACCAGAGACACAAAAAGCTACAGGCTTTGATTTCAGCATTTCTGTGAATGAAAGAAGCTCTAGGTTTTTCTGATTTATTTTTTGCACAATATTTTTTTATATTGATAGGATTTGCTGTGGAAATCTGATTTATTGTTTGGGCTGTTCAGAACATGATGTTTAGGCTAGTTAACAGACCTATGTAACAGGTAAAAACATGTAGCTAGCTAGTCAGACCAAGGTTGACTCCATAAAGCTTACTAAAGTGATCTGGTGCAGTGGGTTTCTAGGAATAGGCTAAACAGCCTTTGGGGACACCTGTTGTTAGAGCTGGGGTTTGAGTGGCTACCAGGAAGCACCTTCTCTTTACACTCTCTCATCCATAACTGTCTGAGCAATCTTCTGTGATTCACCGTCCATTTTGAAGGTGCAAATCCTTGTGTGACGTAGCCTATGCAATTGTTTGTGTTTTTGGAATCATTGTTTTCAAGGCATTCCGCTTTTAAATGGACTTGCGTTGTACAGAAAGCGCTTCTTGGATGTAGGTAGGTGGGCAAAGTGAGATGCAAACAAACTCGTCAATGCATGGCCCTCATCAGAACTGAAACCCTTGTCTCTCCATTGTCTCCTGGAGGACAGGAGCACACAGCCTACTCTGTTGGATGGCCTTATTTGTTGTGCTGAAGCACAAGTTGTGGCCCAGCTGAATAAAGAGGACTTGTTGCCATGGAGATTCTCTCCAGTGGCACCCCATGGAACACAACCACCCAAGTTTATCTGACTGTGATTACCAATGATTATAGACACTCATAGGAAGACATGATGATCATGAAGACCATGGTTCTGAAGTACATTTTGTGACACGTCGGTTGCACCTTAGATTTGGTAACCTAACATTATTAACCTATTGATGTTTCTCAATAAAGCATGCATGAGGTAACAGCAATGGAAACTCTGGTGACTATGTCCTCTGGGGCCCTGCCTTAGGTGATGTTCCACTTGTTTACTGTGTGGCGGGATTTGTTTTGTGAACACCGTTTGTGACTGACTCTCCCTTTCTTTTTGTCTCTGTACCCTCGTTCTGTGCAGTCTGGCTGAGGAGGAGGTAAAGACCGAGTCCGATGTGGTAGAGGGGATGGATGTGTCCATGCGATCCAAAGGTAAGAACAATGCCTCGCATACTAAGACAAATGTTACTGTGTTTTGAGAAGACCACTTATTCTAATATGCTTCTAGTATTGATCTTACATTTTAAACATGTTTTGTTGTGGATCTCATGCCATTGAATTAATATCATATCACTCTAATGTAGCAACACTACCTCTGGGGTTGGTGAAGGAGGCATCCTTCACACGTGATCACTTGTCACAGGGCCCGACCACACTTCTCTTGGAATGTGGTTGTCATGTTGGCGTAGCAAGGAAGATCAGATGTTAACTTATCATATGAAATTCGTTGCCAGATTGGGAAACCAAGCAGTAAGGTTTGGTGGCCAAAATCTCTTATCTGGTCGGTATCCCTGGGCAACCACTACTGTATTTAGCCTCTCAATGATGGGGTTCTGCTAACAAAAGAAAGCTCTAGGCTTAACACTGCCTTTGACCTTCACAATGACACTTATCCCCGTCTGAGGAAAGATTAGTTGAGTAGTACTGAAGAAGCTGGAGCCGGTCATTGTTGTGTAGAGTGGCCTGAGACGGGAAGTGTCTCTGCCTCTCTAGCCTTTCATGCCAGGCTTCTAGTCTCTCCTTCTAAGCCTCGTGCACCTCCGTCACTCGGTCGCGTCGTTGCCATTGTTATCAATGTTCTACCGATGCGGCAGCCATATTGATGCTCAAAAGTAGAAATGGGGCTAGTGACTGTTTCGTCTAAATTACACTATAGGGGCTTGAGAATACGATGACATTGTTAAAGTATGCACATATTTAGTAGGAATCAACTTTGCCATCATCATGTTGTCAAATTTACTTTAGACAGGTGGCAATGTTGTCATTAGCTAGCAAAGTTCGTCAAAAATAGCTAGCAATGCTAACGTTAGCTAGCTAAAATCTGTGTCTCCCCTCAGTCTTAGCTAGCTAACGTTATACTGCATCCACAGTCAGTCTGGCGACATCAAAATGATGACAAAAGGTTTTCCTACTAATTGTTTGCCGCCTTTAGAAATGTCAATGGGTTTTCAAGCCACAGTAATGCACTTTAGACCAAATCTTAATCAGCGCCCAATGAGGATGCATTGAGTAGAATGCTCAGTTGGGCAGCAGTCCTAAAACGAACGTTCAAAATAATATCGTGACGCAACGTGAAACTCATGAATAAGCTGCTACTCTTGTTCCGTGTTGTATGTATGGTGACCTGGTCTCCCCTCTACTCCGGCAACTAGTGTCTGACCCTGGGTCAGTAGAGCGGTCGCTGGTGGCTCAGAAGAGGAAGGTGTCCAGCCCCACCCACTCCTCCAACGGCCACTCCCCCTCAGACACCTCCCCCAGCCCCCTGAAGAAGAAGAAGAAACCTGGAGCCGTCCATAGCAACAACAAAGACCAGGTGGGGGGGGGGGTACAGTGCCTTGCAAAAGTATTCATCCCCCTTGGCGTTTTTCCTATTTTGTTGCATTACAACCTGTAATTTAAATGGATTTATATTTGGATTTCATGTAATGGATATACACAAAATAGTCCAAATTGGTGAAGTGAAATGAAAATTCTAAAAAATAAATATCTGAAAAATGGTGCGTGCATATGTATTTACCCCCTTTGCTATGAAGCCCCTAAATAAGATCTGGTGTAACAAATTACCTTCAGAAGTCACATAATTAGTTAGATTGCACACAGGTGGACTTTATTTAAGTGTCACATGATCTCAGTATATATACACCTGTTCTGAAAGGCCCCAGAGTCTGCAACACCACTAAGCAAGGGGCACCACCAAGCAAGCAGCACCATGAAGACCAAGGAGCTCTCCAAACAGGTCAGGGACAAAGTTGTGGAGAAGTACAGATCAGGGTTGGGTTATAAAAAAATATCAGAAACTTTGAACATCCCACGGAGCACCATTAAATCCATTATGAAAAAATTGAAAGAATATGGCACTTTTACATTACATTTTAGTCATTTAGCAGACGCTCACACCTGCCAAGAGAGGGTCGCCCACCAAAACTCACGGACCAGGCAAGGAGGGCATTAATCAGAGAGGCAACAAAGAGACCAAAGATAACCCTGAAGGAGCTGCAAAACTCCACAGCGGAGATTGGAGTATCTGTCCATAGGACCACTTTACACTCCACAGAGCTGGGCTTTACGGAAGAGTGGCCAGAAAAAAGCCATTGCTTAAAGAAAAAAATAAGCAAACACGTTTGGTGTTCGCCAAAAGGCATTCGGGAGACTCCCCAAACATATGGAAGAAGGTACTCTGGTCAGATGAGACTAAAATGTAGCTTTTTGGCCATCAAGGAAAACGCTATGTCTGGCGCAAACCTAACACCTCTCATCACCCCGAGAACACCATCCCCACAGTGAAGCATGGTGGTGGCAGCATCATGCTGTGGGGATATTTTTCATCAGCAGGGACTGGGAAACTGGTCAGAATTGAAGGAATGATGGATGGCGCTAAATACAGGGGAATTCTTGAGGTATACCTGTTTCAGTCTTCCAGAGATTTGAGACTGGGACGGAGGTTCACCTTCCAGCAGGACAATGACCCTAAGCATACTGCTAAAGCAAAACTCGAGTGGTTTAAGGGGAAACATTTAAATGTCTTGGAATGGCCTAGTCAAAGCCCAGACTTCAATCCAATTGAGAATCTGTGGTATGACTTAAAGATTGCTGTACACCAGCGGAACCCATCCAACTTGAAGGAGCTGGAGCAGTTTTGCCTTGAAGAATGGGCAAAAATCCCAGTGGCTAGATGTGCCAAGCTTATAGAGACATACCCCAAGAGGCTTGCAGCTGTAATTTCTGCAGAAGGTGTCTCTACAAAGTATTGACTTTGGGGGTGTGAATAGTTATGCACGCTCAAGTTTTCTGTTTTTCTGTCTTCTTTCTTGTTTGTTCCACAAGATAAAATATTTTGCATCTTCAAATTGGTAGGCATGTTGTGTAAATCAAATGATACAAACCCCCAAAAAATCCATTTTAATTCCAGGTTGTAAGGCAACAAAATAGGAAAAATGCCACTGTATGTTTTTGTATTTGAACACAGGTATGTTTGAATGCAGGTGTGTGTGTGTGCGCGAAGGGGTGTGTGTGTGTGCGCAGGGGTGTGTGTATGCGCCTGTTACGGCTGGGTGATATATCAAATTAGATTCATTCAAATTTATGTTTTTGTGCGATATTCCAAATGCCTATATCGCAGAATCAAGGTTTTTAATATGAGCGTTTATGTCCGCTTGTTCTCATGTTGTCTTTTTGGTCTCGTCTCGTTCGCTCCTTCTGTGCTGTTCACCTTCCCACTTAGACCAGAGATCTGTATATAATGACGAGATGCTCATGTCTCCGCCCTAACAATGGGAGTCGTTGTCCCAAAGGCGGGAAGGCAGGCGACAAGCTTAGGTTCAAAATAAGCGCATGGAAACGCATTGGACTTATTTTGGACAGATTTTGGCGAGAGTGAAACCTCTCGCTTCGTCTCTTTCTCCCAAGCCCCTCCCCTACCACTCACAACAAAAAAGATGAGAGATCACTTCTTCCTCTCTGACAAACGGTTTCAACTCGGTAGTTATATGGACACTGAAACACATGGAGACATTATTTTACTGTATAGAGAAGTTAACCTTGCGAACCATACACTGTTTGTTTCAACTCCTCAAATTTCAGACACTACTAAAACGGATGTACCGATGAACATTCATTCTGGAAAATTAATGCCCAGTTTATCGCGCACGCATTACGGTACCACATATTGCTAGCATAAGTTTTGTCAAATAAAGATTCTTATACTATCTGTTTAGTCTGTGTTTTATAAATGTGCAATAAGCATAAAACAATTGTATAAGGAATTGGCAACTCGTTCTCATTCTGAGAAATAAGGTAGGCCACTTGATTTCAACATCTGAACAAAGTGGACAGGCTAGCATGCTGTTCAAACAGTTGGAGACGGACAGAAGGTTGTGTTCATAACAGTTGAACTGTTTAGTCTTTTTAGCTGAATTCAGAGCTTGTGAAATTATACCTAGATCCAATTTGGCTAAACTTGAAATATAAATATTAGCTGGCTTCTCACTAGTACGAGAGATTGTTTATGAGACCGGTGTTACTTTTCTATAATGCCTGCTACATTATTAGTGAATGTGCATTATGCATGGTTCTGGTTAAATGTGTAACAAAATTAGCATTTTTATAGACAGACCTGAAAGCCAGGTCAGTGATTATTGCAAAAAAAGCAGGCACAACTATTTTAATTAAATTATTAGTGGGTCTTATGGTTATGGAAGGCATACAGTTGAAGTCGGAAGTTTACATACACTTAGGTTGGAGTCATTAAAACTTGTTTTTCAACCACTCCACAAATGTCTTGTTAACAAACTATAGTTTTGGCAAGTCAGTTAGGACATCTACTTGGTGCATGACACAAGTAATCTTTCCAACAATTTTTTACAGACAGATTATTTCACTTATAATTCACTGTATCACAATTCCAGTGGGTCAGAAGTTTACATACACTAAGTTGACGGTGCCTTTAAAAAGCTTGGGAAATTCCAGAAAATGATGTCATGGCTTTAGAAGCTTCTGATGGGCTAATTGACATCATTTGAGTCAATTGGAGGTGTACCTGTGGATGTATTTCAAGGCCTACCTTCAAACTCAGTGCCTCTTTGCTTGACTTCATGGGAAAATCAAAATAAATCGATCAAGACCTCAGAAAGAAATCTGTAGTCTGGTTCATCCTTGGGAGCAATTTCTAAACGCCTGAAGGTACCACGTTCATCTGTACAAACAATAGTACGCAAGTATAAACACCATGGGACCACGCAGCCGTCATACCGCTCAGGAAGGAGACACGTTCTGTCTCCTAGAGATGAACGTACTTTGGAAAAGTGCAAATCAATCCCAGAACAACAGCAAAGGACCTTGTGAAGATGCTGGAGGAAACAGGTACAAAATTATCTATATCCACGGTAAAACGAGTCCTATATCGACATAACCTGAAAGGTCGCTCAGCAAGGAAGAAGCCACTGCTCCAAAACCACCATTAAAAAAGCCAGACTATGGTTTGCAACTGCACATGGGGACATAGATCATACTTTTTGGAGAAATGTCCTCTGGTCTGATGAAACAAAAATAGAACTGTTTGGCCATTATGACCATTGTTATGTTTGGAGGAAAAAGGGGGATGTTTGCAAGCCGAAGAACACCATCCCAACTGTGAAGCACGGGGGTGGCAGCATCATGCTGTGGGGGTGCTTTGCTGCAGGAGGGACTGGTGCACTTCACAAAATAGATGGCATCATGAGGAAGGAAAATGATGTGGTTATATTGAAGCAACATCTCAAGACCTCAGTCAGGTAGTTAAAGCTTGGTCGCAAATGGGTCTTCCAAATGGACAATGACCCCAAGCATACTTCCAAAGTTGTGGCAAAATGGCTTAAGGACAACAAAGTCAAGGTATTGGAGTGGCCATCACAAAGCCCTGACCTCAATCCTATAGAACATTTGTGGGCAGAACTGAAAAAGCGTGTGCGAGCAAGGAGGACTACAAACCTGACTCAGTTACACCAGTTGTGTCAGGAGGAATGGGCCAAAATTCACCCAATTTATTGTGGGAAGCTTGTGGAAAGCTACCCAAAACGTTTGACCCAAGTTAAACAATTTAAAGGCAATGCTACCAAATACTAATTGAGTGTATGTACATTTCTGACCCACTGGGAATGTGATGAAAGAAATAAAAGCTGAAATAAATAATTCTCTCTACTATTATTCTGACATTTCACATTCTTAAAATAAAGTGGTGATCCTAACTGACCTAAGACAGGGAATTTTTACTAGGATTAAATGTCAGGAATTGTGAAAAACTGAGTTTAAATGTATTTGGCTAAGGTGTATGTAAACCTCCGACTTCAACTGTATATTCAGCCTAGGTATAATTTCACAAGCTCTGAATTCATTAGATTATTGCTGACCTTTTAATTGTACAACAAAGCTTATTTAGAGAACATTAAACAAATTGAGATACAGTACCAGTCAAATGTTTGGACACCTACTCATTCAAGGGTTTTTCTTTATTTTTACTATTTTCTACATTGTAGAATAATAGTGAAGAGATCAAAACTATGAAACAACACACATGGAATCATGTAGTAACCAAAAAAGTGTTATATATTACATTTGAGATTCTTCAAATAGCCACCCTTTGCCTTGATGACAGCTTTGCACAGTCCTGGCATTCTCTCATCCAGCTTCACCTGGAAGGCTTTTCCAACAGTCTTGAAGGAGTTCCCACATATGCTGAGCACTTATTGGCTGCTTTTCCTTCACTCTGCGGTCCAACTCATCCCAAACCGTCTCAATTAGGTTGAGGTCGAGTGACTGTGGAGGCAAGGTCATCTGATTCAGCACTCCATCACTCTCCTTCTTGGTCAAATACACAGCCTGGAGGTGACAGTGTCTGTTGAAAAAGAAATGATAGATAAATCACAGACAGTGTCACCAGCAAAGCACCCCCACACCATCACACCACCTCCTCCATGCTTCAGGATGGGAACCATACATGCGGAGATCCTCCGTTCACCTACTCTGCGTCTCACAAAGACAGGCCGGTTGGAACCAAAAACCAAAAATTTGGACTCATCAGACCAAATGACAGATTTCCACCGGTCTAATGTCCATTGCTCGTATTTCTTGGCCCAAGTAAGTCTCTTCTTCTTATTGGTGTCCTTTAGTAGTGGTTTCTTTGCAGCAATTCAACCATGAAGGCCTGATTCACACAGTATCCTCTGAACAGTTGATGTTGAGATGTGTCTGTTACTAGAACTCTGTGAAGCATTTATTTGGGCTGCAATTTCTGAGGCTGGTAACTCTAATGAACTTATCCTCTGCAGCAGAGGTAACTCTGGATCTTCCTTTCTTGTGGCGGTCCTCATGAGAGCCAGTTTCATCATAGCGCTTGATGGTTTTTGGAACTTCACTTGAAGAAACTTTAAAAGTTCTTGAAATATTCCGAATTGACTGACCTTCATGTCTGTCATTTCTCTTTGCTTATTTGAGCTGTTCTTGCCATAATATGGACTTGGTCTTTTACCAAATAGGGCTATCTTCTGTATAGCACCCCTACCTTGTCACAACACAACTGATTGGCTCAAACGCATTAAGAAGGAAAGAAATTCCACAAATGAACTTTTAACAAGGCACACCTGTTAATTGAAATGCATTTCGGGTGACTACCTCATGAAGCTGGTTGAGAGAATGCCAAGAGCGTGCAAAGCTGTCATCAAGGCAAAGGGTGACTACTTTGAAGAATCTTTGTTTAACACTTTTTTGGTTACTACATGATTCCATATGTGTTATTTCATAGTTTTGATGTCTTCACTATTATAGTACAAATAAAGAAAAACCCTTGAATGAGTAGGAGTGTCCAAACTTTTGACTGGTACTGTATATATCGTGAATCGCCTGTAAGATATGAGTTTTAGGCCATATCACACAGCGCTAGCGTCTGTGCACAACTTATTTTGCCTCCAGGTTTAAATGAAAGACTCTGCTGCATGTTCTATAGATGCATTAGTTCATTTCAAAAACAAATGTTTGTATCATGTATTGATGATTACATTTTAAAATAATTGCTCTGATAATTGATAATCATAACTGTTTATAGTGGAATACCTTTTAACATTTTTGGAAAAATAGATATTAATGCATATCATTGTATGCTTGCCAAATATTTTATATTTTTGCACATTTATTCCCATTTCTTGTGAATGCTTTGTTTTACATGCATGACATAATTAAACCCCAAGCCAAAACCTTTGAATTCAGTTCCACTGACAAAAGACAAAGTTGCATGTTCTGAACAGTCACATAGATATGTGCTGACTAGGATTGTCTTGTTCACTGATTGGCTGATGTGGGTTAATGAGGTGTCAATCATGATATCCAACACAAGACTGATTTATTGGTCCACCAGGGAAAGTCACCAATCAAATTGCACTTAGTCTGTGACGACATAAAAAGATGACAAAAACACAAACTTCTGGTTTGGCATTACAATCTTATAGACAGACCTACATTGATATTGACGAGATCAACCAAAACAGTCTTGTGTTTGGTGCCTGCCTAATTGTGCCTTATGTATTGCTTATTACTCTGCCTTACTTGCCACTGTGTGATTCTCTCTGTGTTCTGTTGCACTGCACCTTTTTGTGTTTTGTTTTCTGCGTGTGTTTTGAAACCCGCCCCCTTTTTCTCTTGCCTGCATTTCAGTCAGAGCTAAGACATGGTCCCTTTTACTATGTGAAGCAACCATCACTCACCACAGACCCTGTTGATGTTGTACCGCAGGACGGCAGGAATGACTTCTACTGCTGGCTGTGCCACCGCGAGGGCCAGGTGCTCTGCTGTGAGCTCTGCCCGAGGGTGTACCATGCCAAGTGCCTCAAACTGCCAGCAGAGCCCGAGGGCGACTGGTTCTGTCCAGAGTGTGAGGTACTCGCTTGTGTGTGTGCGGTGCGTGTGGGTGTGTAGGTGTATATACATGCGCACGTTGTGTGGGAGTGTTCCAGGCACATTTTCGCTTTACCACTAGCTTAATATCCGCTTGCTCTTTGGGTTTTCAGGTGATGGGATTGGAGGGAGGCTTGGGTCAACTTCAATTTTGCATTTCAGTTAAATAATGTAAAAATCCTTATACCATACTTCCGGAGTCAGTTCCCTAATCTGTTGAGTGGGCTTGACGATTATATCATCAAATTTGTGAAAACGCGGTCATTTAAGATATGTATAAAATTATGTTTGTCTTTGCGCTGAAGACTATTGCGCTACATTTTCCCCCATTTGAAGACCATTGAAAAAGCCTACAAAAACTACAAGGCTTCTTCCTGGAAATAGCGTAGTCACTTTCATAGCGTATTCTATAATAAGGATAATACACATGCCACTTTTAAATCTCAAATTGAAATGGAATCGAGCCCAAGCCTGTTTGGAGGGCAAACTTAAAGTGGGCAGGATCTATATCTTCCCTCTCTAGATGGATTTTGCTGCTGTGAGGACTAGTACTTCAGTCTCCTATAGATTACAACACAGATGCATAGTTAATAGCCAGCCCAGCAGACTAATGTGAGTGGGTGTGTGTTAGCCCAGTCCCTGTGCTTGGTATACTTTCCTTTTGGTTTTACCAGCTACTATTTGCCATTGATACATGACTTTTTTTTTTTTTTTTTTTCAGAAAATCACAGTAGCAGAGTGCATAGAGACACAGAGCAAGGCCATGACCATGCTAACGATAGATCAGCTCTCATACCTGCTGAAGTTTGCCCTCCAGAAGATGAAACAGCCAGGGGTAAGTTCAAATAAAACATTTCAATCAAATTTTATTTGTCACATTCTTCGTGATCAACCGGTGTAGACTAACAGTGAAATTGTTACTTACGTGTCCTTTTCCAACAATGCAGAGTTAAAGATAACATATATATATATATTTTTTTTAATAGTGACACAAGGAATAAATATACAGTGAAAAACGAATAACAATAGCTAGTATAAATAACATGGCTATATACAGGGAGGACCAGTACCGAGTCCTTCATTGACATTGATAGTTCTTCTGACATCCTCCAGGTGCCCACTGTGAGCCAGAGAGGGCTGTCGGTTAAATGATGTGTTTGTTTATGAGAACTGATGCCTGTGACTGTTTCCTCCCTGGGCAGACTGAGCCCTTCTGGAAGCCTGTGTCTCTGGAGCAGCACCCTGACTATGCCGAGTACATATTCCACCCTATGGACCTCGCAACACTGGAGAAGGTACCATTTACATTCACATTTTGTCATTTCGCAGACGCTTTTATCTAGAGCGACTACATGCCATAAGTGAATTCAACTGAAGTCGAAATGGTGTTTTCTAATAATGTACGTTTTTCTCTGCTATATTTGTAGAATATGAAAAAGAAAATGTATGGCTGCACGGAAGCCTTCTTGGCTGACGTGAAATGGATCTTGCACAACTGCATCATCTACAATGGTGGTAGGTCACAGACATCTGCTTAACACCGTTTCCTTTCTGTACTGCTACTTGCTTTGGAGATAAACAACTTGGCTTTTACGAACATGTTTTATGTCTTTTGGTTTTGTTCCAGGTAATCACAAACTAACAGCAACAGCAAAGGTCGTCGTGAAGATCTGTGAACATGAAGTGAGTAGCATTTTTACATGATGACTGAAATGCCAGCCGGGGGTGTGTTTTGTTTTCTCCCTGTAAAATGGCCATTTCAGTGATGTGGAAACTGCTGTCTGTTTCAGATGAATGAAATCGAGGTCTGTCCAGAGTGCTACCTGTCCTCGTGCCAAAAGAGGGACAACTGGTTTTGCGAGCCATGTGTAAGACAAACGTTTCCTCACCTTCTTTTGCAATTAACATTTTAATAGATTTTCATTTTTGTCCTTCCACATACTATGTGACTTGAGTCACAATTAGGTTTGTCCTGAAGACAACTGTAGATTAGCCTAAATGTCATATTTCAAATCTCAAAAACACTCTTTAGAGCAAAGGAAATCTTATTCCACTGTCTGTTTTTATGCTGTCTTATCTGACTTTTCCCCTGGTCTGCCTCCCCTCTTAGGGTCACACCCACCCCCTGGTATGGGCAAAGCTGAAGGGCTTTCCCTTCTGGCCAGCCAAAGCACTGCGGGAGAAAGACGGACAGGTGGACGCACGCTTCTTCGGACAGCATGACAGGTGAGCCTTGCTGTTGGATGAAAGTAAGAGGATGGAAGCGACTTTTCATCGTTTTTACTTGGACTCCCCTGAAGTGAGTCATAGTTCTATGCTTATCCTACTCCTAACAAGTCTCTCTGTGTTTTTTCTCCGTAGGGCGTGGGTTCCCCTCAACAACTGCTACCTCATGTCCAAGGAGATTCCCTTCTCTGTGAAGAAGACCAAGAGCATTTTCAACAGCGCCATGCAGGAGATGGAGGTCTACGTGGAAAACATCCGCAAGAAGTTTGGTGTGTTCAACTACGCCCCCTTCCGCACCCCCTTCACGCCCAACAACCAGCTCCAGATGCTGCTGGATCCAGCCAACCCCGGGGCAGGGGCCGTGAAGATGGAGAAACCCGACAAGATGCGCTTCAACTTCGACATGACCGCATCTCCCAAGATGCTCCTGGGCAAGAGCTCTCTGTCGAGCGGGATGGGGCGGAGGATCTCTCTGACGGACATGCCTCGCTCTCCCATGAGCACCAACTCCTCTGTACACACGGGGTCTGACGTGGAGCAGGATGGGATGGAGAGAGGGCCCAGGAACCCCCCATTCCACTACAGTGCTGGGGAGGAGTCTATGGACTACACCGGTAATTAACATGCTCCTGACTCTTAACACGTCATACGACTAACTAACACAGGGGTATTATCTACAGTACAGTCGCAGTCAAAACACAGGTTGGGATCAAGACTCAAGCCATTTGTGGTGGTTAAAGTGTTATGTGTTCTGGCCACAGCGTCCCCTGCCTCAGTGAAGATGGGCCATGCAGGCAGCTTGACGGGCAGCCCCAAGCCCTTCTCCCCTGGTCTGGTGCCCAAGCAGGAGAGGGCCCCGGGCACAGGCAGCATCCTCAACCTCAACCTGGGTGGGTCCCATCTAACCTCTCCTCCTTCTGTAGCACCTTGTCTTGTGCTTTCTGTTTGGTTAGGGGTTATGTTTCGGTTGTGGTTTGAGTTTGAGTGTCATTTGTCACAGATCGTGTGAAGGCTGAGATGGACCTGAAGGAGCTCAGTGAGGCAGTACAGCAGCAGCAGCAACAACAACAACAGGGGTCATCACTCACCACCACCACCCCCAAGAGACCCATCAGGAGCCTGGACAAGACCATCGAGAGCTGCAAGGCCCAACTAGGTACACTCACACACCATTCATGAATTGTGTCTAGTGACACATTTCAAGGCCTATGAATGATACGCTTTATATTCGTTGTCCCTGTGCAGGCATTGATGGGATCTCTGAGGACGTGTATAAGGGCGTGGAACACAGTGACTCAGAGGATTCCGAAAAGTCTGACTCCAGCGACAGCGAGTACCTTAGCGACGAGGAGCACAGACCGAAGAGCGTGGACAAGGACAAAGCAGAGAGGGAGTCGAGGAAGAGGCCCAAGGCGAGCACACAGGGAGAGGACAAGGAGGCAGTCACAGGGACCAGGGATAAAAAAAAAACTGAAGCTCTACTCAAAGACAGACAGGGCAGCAATGGCCCGGAGAGAGACTCCCAGGAGCCCAGGACGCCCCAAACTCAGCCCCCCACAGATATGCCCAAGGCCCCAGAGGAGGGGAGGGCAGGCGCACCCCAGGCCCTAGCTGGCCCAGACCAGGACTCCGACTCGGAGAGGGAGCTGGTGATTGACCTGGGGGATGAGCAGGGGGGTCGTGACCGTAAGGCCAGGAGGGAGCCAGGGGCTGCAGCCACTAAGGCCACGAAGCTGGAAGGTGAGGGTTCAGTTACTGTCTAGTTTCATTTCATTTGTGTACCCTAGTTGCTTTGTATCAGAAAGGAGGAAAAGACTGATTGTTCTGTTATTTAATCAATGTAATTTTGTCTCCGACCAGGCAAATTCCCCGCCGCAGTGACGCCCTCTCCAGCCTCTGCCACTTCGTCCAACCTCAAAGACCCCAGTCAGCCCCTCATCAACCCCCCACTCAACCTGTCCTCCAGCACAGGCTCTGGTCAGCCCAACACGGCCCTCACCACCACCCCCTCTCCAGCCCCCACCTCTGCCCCCACCCTCTCCTCCGCCGCCGCCTCAGCAGTGAAGAAGCAGCGCCCTCTGCTGCCCAAAGAGACTGCTCAGGCAGTGCAGCGTACGGTGGTGTGGAACCCGGCCAACAAGTTCAGACGTCATCCCAGAAGTGGCACATGCAGAAGGTGCAGCGGCAGCAGGAGGAGCAGCCGTCTACGCCAACACAAACACAGGTTCCCGTTCCGGTCCAGCCGCCGACGCAGGCACAGACACGCAGCCCACAGCAGCTCCAGTCACAGCAGCAGTTGCAGGCATCCTCCAGTACACGCTACCAGACCAGACAGGCAGCAAAAGGTACATAGAAACTCACAACTCCCTCAAAATCTATACACACATTCATCTCATCTTAGTTAATATGAGCTATTGAATGTTTTCTTTCATTCCTCATCCCTCTTCTGTGGTTTGTAGCCGTGCAGCAGAAAGATGGTCCCCAGACCTCCACCTCATCAGTCACCTTGGTCACCTCTGTTGCCTCCTCCTCCTCGTCTTACCTGGCAGGAGACTTTCAGATCCCCACAGCTTCAGCAGATGTGGCAGCTGACATAGCAAAGTACACCAACAAAGTGAGTCAGCAAGATGCTATATGTCTGCTTCACATAGAATGAATAGACTTTACAGGGGAAAGTTTATAGATTCACAGATTATATTTGTGTTTTATTGATATGGAAAGTTACCTGTCTGACATCAAGCTGTGAGTTGTAATGATCTCACCGGAACTTTCCAGATGATGGACACGATAAAAGGGACGATGACAGAAATCTACAACGACCTTTCCAAAAGCACTTCAGGAAACACGATCACAGAGGTGAGTGCTACAGTGAACAGACTTTTGGTTGAGTCCATAAAAGAAGTAAAATTCTCTCTCCTGTCTCACTGCTTTGTGATAACTGTTGAATATTTTTGCACAGATCCGGCGGCTGAGGATAGAGATTGAGAAGCTTCAGTGGCTACATCAGCAAGAGCTTTCGGAGATGAAGCACAATCTCGGTTTGTTCCACTTGCCCTTTCCTTAAAAATATACACGTTTTAGGTTGGTATGATTTATATATATGTTTGTCTATAGACTGGTTGGTTGTTTAGCAACAAAACCGTAGTGTGCGCAACTATGGGGCAAAACAGACGGGGTTGGCTTAGATTGTTGACAACATGTAAACTATAGTTAGTCTCCAATGTTTATTGAAAACATAAATACATTTGCAGAATGAGGACTTGTTGTCTCTCAAATACATCGTTAGAGTTGTTGGTTAGCTAGCTAGCGAATTTGAGCCATATAAGCATTGACATGAAATCAGTCAAAACACCTCAAAACAAGACATGGTATCAACAACAAGATAAAACAAGCTGAAACAAGCCACCTATGATTCCGCACATGGCAGCTTCTTGTCATTGTTGCTAGTGATCTGACAGTTCAGAATCATAACAACGCACGGCTTCCGGCCACATCGATGCGTGTGCATCATTTCCGTGACGTTGTCAGCCAATTCATGTGTGTATGAGATGGACTTCATATCTGTGTTTTCTGACATCTTAATAATGCAAGTGTGTGCATTATAGCTGTGTGTGTAATATACTCATCCAATTCATGTTGTAATCATAGAATATGCATAGTATACATTTTAATGCATGTTACATTCATAGTAATAATTCATTATTTTCAATATAATGTGAATTATTATATTAATAGATTTTTTAAATGTCTATGTGTGTCGTGCAGAGCTGACTATGGCGGAGATGAGACAGAGTCTGGAGCAGGAGAGGGAGCGTCTGGTAGCAGAGGTGAAGAAGCAGATGGAGGTGGAGAAACTGCAGGCGGTGGATGAGACCAAGAAAAAGCAGTGGTGTGCCAACTGCAGGAAGGAAGCAATTTTCTACTGCTGCTGGAACACCAGCTACTGTGACTACCCCTGCCAGCAAGCCCACTGGCCAGAACACATGAAGTCCTGCACACAGTCAGGTATTACACACACAAACAACGTCATTTGCACGAACGAATAAAACGAAGTGCCTGTGCACCAAAAATTCAGACAAACCCTCGCACTAACATGCCATGCCATACACATTATACACTCTTTAGCTCTCTCTGTATTTTACTAGCTAAACTTATGTTTCATGTCTGCCTCCCTCTGTTCCTACAGCAACAGCTTCTCAGCAGGAACCAGAGGCGGAGTCTACCTCTGACCCCTCAGCCAAACCACCAGGTCACTCCTCCAGCGCCCAGTACCCCTCTGGCACAGGATATGTCCCCACAGACAAAGGCCCCTCTCCTACCTGCAGTGTGGACAAGAGCAAGGACAGTGCCAATGCTACTGTGCCCTAACCACTACACTGCACACACAGATGTACTACTCTACAATCCTACAGTCTGTAAAATGTATGTATTTGTCCCGAAGAGACCGGTCCAATAAACCAAGGCTTTTTGCGACCAACTAATCTGGGAATGTCCAGCGAATCTCTGTATGAAAGACCACGGAGGCATCAAAACCACCACACCCTCACCTAGCTGGGCTTAGGGCTTTAAAACGTCATGGACACTCCTTGTATAAAGGCCTGCTCCTCTGTGATTCAACTGACTCATCCCCAGTCCCTTGTTTTGTTCAACGTCTGCCTTGTGATCCGATGTTTCAAGCCATCCTTCATCCTCCTCAAAGTCTATGTGCTAGACTGGAGGATTCACTTACCTTGTCCTTCAGTCTATACCTTTTCATACCCTCTCTTTGCTCTTTTCATCCTCTTTTTATATCCCTCTTACCATCTACCCTAACGCTAGTTATCTCCAGGAAAGTGCATCAAAAGATCAGACATCAATGTTTTGTGTGTTCTTACAACAATCTTATACTTGAAACCTGTGATGCTGCTCTTTAAAATATACCACAAGTCTTTATAGTTATTTGCAACCAGAAGTGAAACTGGTTACTGTGCCAGCTCTTTTTGGGACACCCAAACGATCTAAAATGTAAATGATTCTACATTGTCAATGCGGTTTAAAGGTTTCATCATTTTCAAAGGAGTTGACAGGGTGTATTTGAAAATCCATAAACAGTATACACAGACATTTCATTCAAGGGATAGCATTAAATTGGTAATCACTCCCCCTGTGTGTACGTTATTGTTTCATACTCATTATATATCGTAGTTCCTCAGCGTATACATACATTTAAATAAACTGTGATGTATAAAAAATATAAAAAGGTTAAAACTGTACAAAGTTTTTGTAATAAGACACATGGACAATATTTATAGTGCTATGACAAGCATATGAGATTTTTTAAAGTACTGTTTGTGAATGAAAATCACTTTCCAAATGTTTTGAAACGGCTTGGCTCTGGAAATCGTTTTTATTTAAATGCATTGTAAGACTTTATATGAATGTCACCTGGACCCTCTGTTCAGATTCTGTCAGAACTATTTGTCTCATCAACCTTCGTTGTTGTGGTTATTCATTAACAATGTAAGCCTACTCCAAAATTACTTCGGACTATGATAGTGTTTTTGGAGGGTAAAGGAAACAGCAAAAGTGACTGTATATTATTCTGAGCATGTTTATTTACCCCCCTTTTTTTGTCATATGTTCTCTTGTTTACATATTGTATAGTAAATTGATTGTTAATGTCTTTAAGAAGAAAATTAAAACAGGTCTAACCAATGTCTTTCGAAAGTATGTTATTGGAATAAGTGGGCTTTGTTGCCACCTGCTGGACTACTGAGAACTTGTTTGACTAAGTAGACATGAAAAGCTTTGGTTTATAATGTATTAAGTGGGCATTTGTTGGTGTGCTCAAATTCAAAGTAAGGGCTTGTGACATTTAAGGGCAAATGGAAGGAGGGTTATAACTTCTTGGTAGGCGACTTTGCAGAGAAGGCAGATTTTGTGGTAACTTGCATTTTTGTAGCTATACTCTTGAGCCTCTTGCAAAAAGTGTTAGTTGTCATATGTTGCATCTGCTCTACAGGTAGGGTTTATGTAAAAGTATTACTGAAATATGTGAGAATACAAACATTTTACCTCACACCTGCGCCATATATTGACGTCGCGAGCACTGTGCATCATATATACAGCCTACATCAAACTTCTCGCGACAGATTTATTTCTACCGCGAGAGCGAGAGCAAAACTCACAGTGGAGGAGAAGAGAAAATGGAAGGTTGTGTAGGCTTCGTCTTATGATAGGACACAACTGGATAACCAGAAAGGTATTGTTTAAAACAATTATCGTTAGATTAACGTATGCCATTATATATTACAACAACAGTTTGTTAGATGCAAGGTAGCCAAATGAATTTACATTTAAAAAAGGGTCACGCGGTAAGGCTTCTTGACCCTGGCCTGTGCATAGGTCAGTAAGCTAGCTACCGCTACTAGTTAGCATATGTTATGGATAGTAAATTAGTGTGCTGCTGTGTTCTTTTGGGTTTTGTATTAATACTGGATGGTTGGTATGGTAGGCAAATATGCCCCCTTCACATTTTTTGTTATACTGCTAGCCATAACACTATACGCCGCTTGGCCAGCAAGCTAGTTTAAATTATACGTTGTCTTTTTTACAACCAAATCTAAAGAAATATGTAAATTGAGCCCCACAGTGGACGTGTCATAATACACCCATGAAACCTCGCGGTCAAACCTGAAATGGTTCCAATCGTTTTTTCACAATTTTAAAGCTACAATATGTATCCAAATGCACATAGAAATTTGAGTTATAGATCTGTCATTCTCATTGAAAGCAAGTCTAAGAAGTGCTAGATCTGTTCTATGTGTGCTATTTCTATGCTTCCAGTGCTTACGTTTTGTTTTTGTATTTTCTTACTTGTGGTTTTGAACACCAGCTTCAAACAGCTGAAAATACAATATTTGAGTTATGGAAAATGTATTTCACAGCGGTTTAGATGGTACAATCATTCGCTAAACTAAACTTGCTTGTTTTGTCACAAACTGAAATTAGGTAAACTAATAAAATGTTATCAACCACGAAATGGTGGAGCGATTTCTGTATAGTGCATCTTTAATTTGATCCATTGTGGATTTTAGAAACACTTCAAATAAGGGCAGTGTTTTGTGTAGGCTTAGCCTGGCGTGACGTTTTGATAAGTGTAAATCCTTTGGACAAGGTGACTTATCAATATATTAGGCTCTATTTACTCTGATTAGAACATTCTAGTTAGCATCAAAGTAGACACCCTGCAAGTAATCTCTAGCTGACACCTTTGATACCAAAACAACGATGTATATTGAACATTTAAATTTACTGTTCCATATTTTATTTAACTAATATTTGTTGTCTTATGAATTTGGACTTGTCTTGTACAGAAAACTATGCTAGTAGCAGTCAGATATTTATGTGCCATGAATACTCGGCTAGTTTTTTCAAAGAAGCTATATAGCTACCTACCTAGATATTTCATACTAGTCCTGTGTAGCTCAGTTGGTAGAGCATGGCGGTTGCAACGCCAGGGTTGTGGGTTCGATTCCCACGGGGGACTAGTATGAAAATGTATGCACTCACTACTGTAAGTCGCTCTGGATAAGAGCGTCTGCTAAATGACTAAAAATGTAATATTAGCAACATATACAGTGCATTCGGAAAGTATTCAGACCCCTTTTCCCACATTTTGTTATGTTACAGCCTTATTCTAAAATTGATTAAATTGTTTTCCCCCCTCATCAATCTACACACAATACCCCATAATGACAAAGCAAAAACAGGTTAAAAATTAAATGACCAGAAATATCAAATTTACGTAAGTATTCAGACCCTTTACTCAGTACTTTGTTGAAGAACCTTTGGCATCGATTACAGCCTCGTCTTCTTGGGTATGACGTTACAAGCTTGGCACACCTGTATTTGGGGAGTTTCTCCCATTCTTCTCTGCAGATCCTCTCAAGCTCTGTCAGGTTGGATGGGGAGCGTCACTGCACAGCTATTTTCAGGTCTCTCCAGAGATGTTAGATCGGGTTCAAGTCCGGGCTCTGGCTGGGCCACTCAAGGACATGCAGAGACTTGTCCCAAAGCCACTCCTGCATTGTCTTGGCTGTGTGCTTAGGGTCGTTGTACTGTTGGAAGGGTAACCTTTGCCCCAGTCTGAGCTCCTGAGAGCTCTGAGGCAGGTTTCCATCAAGGATCTCTCTGTACTTTGCTCCGTTCATCTTTCCCTCGATCCTGACTAGTCTCCCAGTCCCTGCCGCTAAAAAACATCCCCGCACCATGCGTCACCGTAGGGATGGGGCCAGGTTTCCTCCAGACGTGACGCTTGGCATTCAGGCCAAAGAGTTCAATCTTGGTTTCATCAGACCAGAGAATCTCATTTGTCATGTTCTGAGAGTACTTTAGGTGCCTTTTGGCAAACTCCAATCAGGCTGTCATGTGCCTTTTACTGAGGAGGGGCTTCTGTCTGGCCACTCTAACATAAAGGCCTGATTGGTGGAATGCTGAAGAGATGGTTGTCCTTCCGGAAGGTTCTCCCATTTTACATTTTTAAAAACATTTTAGTCATTTAGCAGATGCTCTTATCCAGAGCGACTTACAGTTAGTGAGTGCATACATTTTCATACATTCCCATCTCCATAGAGGAACTCTGGAGATCTGTCAGAGTGACCATCGGGTTCTTGGTCACCAAGGCCCTTCTCCCCAGATTGCTCAGTTTGGCCGGGCGGCCAGCTCTAGGAAGAGTGTTGGTGGTTCCAAACACAGTGTCGAAGCCACTGTGTTCTTGGAGACCTTCGACTCGGCAGAAATGTTTTGGTACCCTACCCTCGACACAATCCTGTCTCGAAGCTGTACGGACAATTCCTACGACCTCATGGCTTGGTTTTTGCTCTGACATGCACTGTCAACTGTGTTATATAGACAGGTGTATTCCTTTCCAAATCATGTCCAGTCAATTGAATTTACCACAGGTGGAATCAAGTTGTAGAAACATCTCAAGGATGATCAATGAAAACAGGATGCACCTGAGCTCAATTTCGAGTCTCATAGCAAAGGGTCTGAATACTTATGTAAATGAGGTATTTCAGTCTTTCTATTTTGAATAAACGTAGAAAAACCTTTCTATTCTCATAGTTTCTACAGATTGTAAATTAAATAAACATTTTTGCTAATAGAATTATTATATTATTGATCGATTTGACTATAACTTTTCAAATCACCCAGCAGTGCTATTTGCAGAGTTGGCTCCAGGTAAATGTTGCAATTCTTCAGCCATTCCTGGACCTGCGACCAAAAACAAGCTACATATGGACATTACCAAAACAAATGATCTAATGATTCTCTCTTCCCAGCAAAATCTGCAGAGCTTGGATGGTTGTATCCCATATACAGTGGGG